ATTTGTCGATCGTCAATGCGTTCTATTGCACGCTGGAGAAGTATATTTACACAAATAAATTGTCTTCTAGGCGTCGCTGGATAAACTCAACAACAGTATTGTCACAAAATAATTGACGACGCGCCTCTGTAATTTGATTTGGAATATTTCTCAAGAAAGCCTCGATGTTTATTTCTGGGCTTGTATGGACCATTTTAATCTAGAGAAAAATTTCATCACAGGTTGAAAGAGCGTCACAAAATAATATTGCGAAGTTTGCCGTTTTTCAGTCATTTTGTATTACGTACGGGAAATTGACAGCCCAATTGGGTGTTGAGTATCAATTTCGCGTTTGTAATACAAAATGACTGAAAATTGCAAATTTTGCAAGGCTATATTATCCGCATTTTACAACATTTCGCAACGAAACTTTGGAATATTACTAATTTTGTGATGCTCTTTCAAGCTGGATAAAATTTTTGGCTAGATTTGATCAAAATTTTAGTTATAAGGGGAAAGGTCCATTCATGGCCCCATTTTGAAACCCTGAAAACATTTTAAAATTTGAAACATTCCCCCCCCCCCCGGAATATAAAATAGCCTTCCGTCCACTATATGGGTCATAAGATGAAGTAATTCCGAACGCGAAATTGTAACCTATATCACGAGCTGCATTGTGGATTGTGATCTATATCACGAGTTGTGATATAAACCATGATTTGTAACCTATATCACGAGCTGAAATGTGATCTATATCACGAGTTGTGATATAAACCATGATTTGTGATGTGTATCACGCGCTTACAATATTTAAATATTTGGAAGAGTAACTTATTCATCACGAGTTATACTGTATATATTTGCAGTAATATATATCACACAACTATGATCTATTTTGTCATATTTGGCGTCTCATACGAACCGCCGTATTAAAACGTTTTGAAACGTTTTAAAACGTTTTGAAACGTATTAAAACGTGTTCGAACCGTTAGAACTAGTATCTTTGGTTAGAACATTTTGAAACGTGTTGGAACGTTTAAGAACGTTCGAAACGTACAAAGAAAAACGTTCTAAAGGTACAAAACAACAAGAACAACAGTTTCAAAAACAACTAGTTTCAAAATGTGAACGCAACATGTTAATATTTAATAGAAGATTTTTCGTTGTATCTTTCTGTGTTTAGATCCTTGAGCAGCAATTGCAACAAATGAAAGCAACATATCAACTCAATCAAGAAAAACTGGAATATAATTTCCAAGTTTTGAAAAAACGAGATGAAGAAAATACCATCACGAAATCGCAGCAGAAAAGAAAAATTACCAGGTACGACAATAATGTGGGGTCATGTGTGGGCAGGTACGACAATAATGTGGGGTCATGTGTAGGCAGGTACGACAATAATGTGGGGCCATGTGTGGGCAGGTACGACAATAATGTGGGTCATGTGTGGGCAGGTACGACAATAATGTGGGTCATGTGTGGGCAGGTACGACAATAATGTGGGGCCATGTGTGGGCAGGTACGACAATAATGTGGGTCATGTGTGGGCAGGTACGACAATAATGTGGATCATGTGTGGGCAGGTACGACAATAATGTGGGGTCATGTGTGGGCAGGTACGACAATAATGTGGGTCATGTGTAGGCAGGTACGACAATAATGTGGGGTCATGTGTGGGCAGGTACGACAATAATGTGGGGTCATGTGTGGGCAGGTACGACAAGTAGATAAGACACTGCATGTGATTTGTCTTCGCATTTGAATGCGGAGATGTTATATATATAGTTTCATGATAGGTGACTTGCAGTCGCGCCGTGGCCAGGGGGCATGCCCCGCCCCCCCTATTGTTGTCGGAATCTTCGTGCTGAAGCATCGAAACAATTGCTAGAAAAATAGGAAAAGTGCTACGAAAGCACTTGTAATGTTATTGTCCGGAAAAATTTCTTTACGAAAAAAGTTGTCGACGGGGGGGAGGGGGAGAGAGAAGTTTTAAAATCGGTTGTCGTCCGGAAAAATTTTTCGGTTTGTCGGAAAAGTACTGCCCTTGCCCCCCCCCCCTAAAAAAAAAAAACATGGGACCCACGGCGCCTGCCACTGGTGACTTGCAATGTTTTGTTCCATTTAGGTTGCAAGATTCTTTGAATAATTTAAAGTCAAAACTGGCAAAACAAGAAAAGACATACAGGTGAGTCTCTCTTTTTTTTCTTTGTTTCTCCTCCTTCATCGCTTCTAAATGTTCAGCCTCCTTCGTTGCCATAATCGTCTTAATCACTTCATCTTACTCTTGTTACTCTTCGTTTTTCACGCACTCTTTTTCATCATTAATTCCTTGATTATGTCAGTTAAGGAGCTTCACTGGCACAATCCTTAGAGCAAGCTCCTCTTTGATCGTGGGTTCGATTCTCCACCAAAAGTCGTGGATTGTCTCCGGGAAATCCGGTTTCCCTCTATAGGGGATGTTGATAGGATGGGTTCGAAAAAACCCCTGACTTTCACTGTAGCTGTGCTTCGTGATCCGACATGAATCATACGGTGACTGCCAGGGGCACCCCTGGAATTAGCACACCCCTACTTACTTAATACTTATTCCACCTCTTTCCTTCTTGTATACACGTGTCAAACGAATGGCTCGTCTTGGTCGACTATCCGTCAACATTCGCAGTGTTTACTATAGATCTCATGCTTGTCGAACTAATATTAAACAGTTCACCATTTTATACTCAGGACCGAATATTTGGAATTCTTTACCTACAAATATAACTGTTATAAACACAATCTCTTCTTTCAAGACGCAGCTTCGTAATTTTTTGCTTAACGAATAACGAAGTTAAACAGCTAGCTCTGATATGCTATGACCATGTTTATCGAACATTGAGTAAGAATTTATAAAATTATTGGAAAATCTATTATACAATTTCGTAAATTTTCTCTCTTAATTTCATTATGTTTCAATTTCATATATGTCTGTAACTTAATTTCAATTTCATTATATATGTCCGTATTAACTGAAACCACATATATTATACTAATAAATTAAATATGTAACTTTGAATTTTGAGATGGGGTGGCCTCTTCACACAAGCTCTAAGCTTCTTGAGGTCTCCTCGCCGACTTTATTTTATTATAATATTTTGTAAATAGCTAACAGTCTTTTTTTTGGCAAATAAATTCTGCGTGTAAATTCACGTGTAAATTCTGCCCAAATTCTCGGCGTTACGATCCAAACCAAAATGAATTGGAATGAACACGTTAATAAAATTGTTAAGAAATCTGGGAAAAGATTGTATATGCTCAGGTTATTGAAACGAGCCAACGCTGACACTAGAATGTTATCCATCGCATTTACCACTATTATAAGGCCAGTCTTAGAATACGCTTGCCAAGTTTGGCACTTCAACATTCCAGGTTATTTGAGTGATGATATTGAAAGGGTTCAAAGAAGAGCTTTGAAAATTATTTTACCAGAACTTAGCTATAACGATGCACGCGAACTTATTAATATTCCATCCTTGAAGGAACGACGTGAGATTTTATGCGAACAGTTCTTTTTGAGAGATGAGAACCTTCAAAAATTTGATGAATTTTTACCTAATAAATCCTCTTCGGTCTATGATACGAGGGGAAATTGTAAATATAATAATTATTATTGTAAAACAGAACGTTTTAGAAAATCCTTCTTACCACAAATTATTTCGAAATTAAATTGTAAATAGTAGTTTACTCCTTTATATTTAATTATTTGTAGTATAGCTGATGTAATTTAACCTTCGGTTACAAAATCAGTAAATATATTTAATAATAATAATAATAATAATTTATTTATTTATATTTATATATACAACTTCGCCATTTAATAATTTTACACAATGACATGTATACGATACGATACCAAAACGATACAATACAAAAGAAAACGATACAATCGAACACAAGACAGTACAGTATATATATATATATATATATATATATATATATATATATATATATATATATATATATATATATATATATATATATATATATATATGTATATATATATATATATATATATATATATATATATATACATATATATATATACATATATCAATAAAAACCGAAACAACCATTTCGGCCTTGCGTCCAACAAAACACCATCTTCGATTCCGGAAATGAAACCTTTCGAAACCGACCTTATAAAACTGATCGAAAATATACAATTTCGATCAGGGAAAAACCATTTTCAGAAATCTTTGGCTAACGATTTGAAGAAAATTAATTCATCTCCCAACATTTTCATTTTTGCAGACAAAACTAGAAATATTTATGAAGCCTCGCTCGACACATACAACAAGCTCTTACATGACAACATTACCAAAACATATAAACATGGATCCGAGGACACTATAGACGAAATTGACTCTGAATTAAAAAACATTTCGAACAATTTAGGAATCGGCGACAGAATTGAAAAAATGAAAAAACGTGAAGCATTTATATCTTTAAAAGACCACAAAGAAAATTTCGAGAACAATCCAAAATGTCGGCTAATTAATCCCGCTAAAAGCGAATCAGGAAAATTGAGCAAAATTATTTTAGATGAAATTAACTCCAATTTGAGACAAAAACTGAATTTGAACCAGTGGAGAAATACAAAACAAGTAATTGAATGGTTTGGAAATATAAAAGACAAAGAAAGACATAGTTTTATTTCGTTTGATATCGTTGATTTTTACCCATCCATTTCGGAAAAGCTTTTGGACCAAGCATTATCTTGGGCTTCTAATTTAACTACCATTTCGGATAATGATATTTTGATCATAAAACACGCCAGAAAATCTCTGCTTTTCAACACCGGAAACCCATGGACTAAAAAAGATAGTGAAGGTTTGTTTGACGTTACCATGGGCAGCCACGATGGCGCCGAAATATGTGAATTAGTTGGCCTTTTCATCCTAAATCACCTAAGTAAGAAGTTTGGCAAAGAAAGCATCGGCCTATATAGAGACGACGGTTTGGCCCTTATAAAAAGTAAATCGGCACGTTTTAGCAGACAAAACAAGGAAAGAACTCCACAAAATTTTCGAGCTGTTTGACCTAAAAATCACCGCCGAATCAAATTTACGCATAGTAAACTTTTTAGATGTAACTTTCAATCTTAACAACGGAAAATATAGGCCCTATAGAAAGCCCAATGACGATCCGCTATACATAAATAGGTACTCTAACCATCCATCTAGCATTATAAGGCAGCTTCCTACATCAGTTAACAAGCGCATTGCAATGCTTTCATCAGATGAGCAAACATTTATGGAATCTGCACCTGCATACCAAAACGCACTTGACCACAGCAACTTTAATCATGATCTCAACTACACTCAACACGCACCACAACAAGCACGCAGAAATAGGCAACGTAATATCATTTGGTTCAACCCACCATTTAGCATGAATGTCAGCACTAATATAGGGCGTAATTTTCTTAACCTTATCGACAAGCACTTTCCTTCGCACCACAAGCTGCATAAGATCTTTAACAGAAATACAGTAAAAGTAAGTTATAGCTGCATGAGCAACGTTAAGTCTATAATCACTAAGCACAATGCACATATAGCTAGGAAGAACAAGGCACAGGGCAAGGGCACTGTCAATTGCAGTTGTTCGAAAAACGCAACATGCCCACTTCAGAAACAATGCATGACTAAGGACATAGTATACAAAGCAACAGTCACAACAAGCAACCCTAACACGATCATGAATTATATTGGCATGACATCAACTACATTTAAAGAGCGTTTGGCTAACCATAACTATACTTTCGAGCATAAAGAGCACTCAAACAAAACTGAACTTTCGAAATATATTTGGACATTGAAAGATAGCAAGAAAGATTTTAATATCAATTGGCAAATTTTGAAACGCGCTATTTCGTATACGGGAGGATCAAAACGATGTAATTTATGTTTAGAGGAAAAATTTTGTATTTTGAAAGAAAACCAAAACCGTTTACTCAATAAAAGAATGGAAATTATATCTACGTGCAGACATAGGAAGAAATTTCGCGTAAACAACGCAAACAATACACTCCCACAATTCGATTAGGCATTTCCGCGTAAACAACGCAAACAATAGATGAATGCATGCTTTGTTTCACCCACACACCCCCACGTTCCGGCCAAAACACATATAAGCAGCCCTATTTCTCGAAACTTGTCATACCGCCTGATGATTCTTTGCTGATGAAACAGACTGTTGCGGAATTTTGAGGTAAGCGAAATTACGGTGGCCCATAGGGGTCACGGCACAAACAAGATATTGTCACGGCACGAACAAAAACTTCACGGCACAAACAAAAACTCCACGGCACAAACAAAAACTCCACGGCACGAACAAAAACTCCACGGCACAAACAAAAACTCCACGGCACGAACAAAAACTCCACGGCACGAACAAAAACTCCACGGCACGAACAAAAACTCACGGCACGAACAAAAACTCCACTGCACGAACAAAAACTTCACGGCACGAACAAAAACTTCACGGCACAAACATAATATCGCCACAGCACAAACCAAATATCCCCAGTTCAAAACTTCATGTTACTTAGCATTTACTTAGCCTTATCGACTTCGTGCCATTGTCGTTTAATACACGTGTTCATGAATCTTTTATGAGTTTATTCTAATATATATTCAAATTTCAAAATGTTTTGCTGCTTTTGTGGCCAACAGTTGCAGGAGAATATAAAATTTTGTCCAAACTGTGGAACTAAAGGTAATGTTATTGTCCATAATATGTTTTAATTTGGAAAAAACCCCGAATAATTTGCTAGATTGTTGATGTCTCGATCAATTCCATGTTCATCCCTATCGGCGTATCGCCCGGGATTTTTGAGGCATTTGCCGTCTGCACATGTTCCTAGGGTCGTGCATTTGCTTACTAGAAGTCGTCCCCCAGGGACGGGAATTTTGTTCCAGTTTAAAAATTAAAACGCGCATGTTTTATCGTGGTTTTTCGCCATTTAATCATAACTATAATGTCATAACTTAAATGATATTACTGAATGATATCTGAAAGCATAGCCTTAGGCCTACATGTAATTGTTTACTTACACTTTTATAATATTCTAGTTTCCATAATTTGTCTCATTGAATGAAATTGGAATACGTATTTTGTGATTTAATTTTGTAATATGCAATGACTAACCAGGGCCTTTCAGAGGGGGGGGCACTGGGGGCAATTTACCCCAGGCCCCAGTTTAAGGGGGGGGGGGCTAATTTGCAAAATTGAAAAAAAATAATGATAAAATGATAAATATAAATATTTTCGATATATTAAAATAATGTGAAAAAATTTTCTAAACCAAAATTTTACATTTATTGATTGAAAAAAAGGGTTTGACCCATGTTGTAACAGGGATTTGTCCAGAAAAAAATTTTTTGGTCGCCAACATTTTTGGGAAAAATAAATAGGGCAAATGGGAAACATAGGGCGCCCGAAACAAAAATTGGCCCTAAAAAAATTTCCCCGAAAAAAAATTTCCCGAAACAAAAACTTTCTCTGATAGGCCCTGTGACTAACATTTCGCCAATACCCCCCAGGGCTTCAAACATGTGCACTGTAGGCAGAACCATAGGTCACTTTCATCACATTGTATCCACCCAGGATCACCAGGTGGGTCCAGTCTTTTCAATTATTGAAGTTGATGGCTTTGCAAATTTGTCCCACCCTGGGGTCCTTCAGTGTTGTAAAATTCCCAACCCACATACTGTATGTGCAGTAATGCATGACCAATTTTCCCATGGTTGCCCATGGGACTAAAGATTGGTAGGTGCATATATAGATTGTAGGTGCATAGTTTTGAAAGTGCAATATAACAACAAATTCTAACATGTATAGTAAATCAGACTTGGTTGTTCTGTTCCTATGACAACAGTTGAGTCACTGATCTTAGTGATGCAACTAATAACTGGATTATTACCACTTGTCACTATTATTTAGATACAACAAACGGAAGTATATTTTATTGTATATTTTAAAATATATTTTAAGCATATTTTAAGTATATTTTATTGTTTTTTATAACTAGTGAAAACAAATGTGGATAGAGTAGAGTCTGAAGAGAAAGGTATTAACTTAATATGTAGTTTTGCATATACATACTAAAATTTTAAAATACTGAAAAATGTATAAAAACTATAAATCAATTAGTTTTGTATTTTGATCTTTATAATTTAACATGTGCAAATACATTGAACATATTTGCATGGTATCAAATGTCAATGCTATTAGAAATTAACACACACAGCAGTTTATGGTACTGAATTTAGTAAGTTATACTTGTTAGTTGTAAGCATGCTTGCTACTCATGATAACAACTTCACTGTATAAAAAAGGTATCAGTGTTGATATTTATGAGGATTTTTAACATGTTAGGGGCTTTGTAAAAAATGTACGAGTATCCATCCTAATGGTCAATGATAGTTTGTTAAGATGTATAACACCAAACATTTATATCCCCATATGTATAACGGATCTATGCCAAAATGTATTTGTTCATCTTAAGCTGCCCTGCTAAGACGGTGCTTATATCGACAGATGTGCTTGCCTCCTTGCCGAGATCTCACTTGAAGATGATGTGATCTCAGCTACCGGATGAAAATTTTTCCATATATAAACATTCAATAACCAGGCTGGCTCAG